CATCCATCCACCCACCCATCTATCCATCTGTCTACCCACCCACCCACCCACCCATCTATCCATCTACCCACCCACCCATCCACCTCCCCACCTATCCATCTACCCACCCATCCACTGCCGTCTACCTGCCCAGCCATCCATCCACCCACCCTGCCCATCCATCCATCCATCCGTCCATCCATCCATCCAAGAGAAACTTCAAATGATTAACCCTATACATTGAATTGGTTGCTTAATAGATAGATATTTGAGTCCGGGTATCACCTAGGACATGATATGTTATGAATGTTTGTGTCCACCCCGAAATTCATATGTTGAAGCTCTAACCTCCAATGTGTCTGTATTTGGAGATCAGGCCTGTGAAGAGGTAATAAAGGTTAAGTGAGGTCATAAGGGTGACATCCGAATCCTATAGGGCTGGTGTCCTCATAAAAAGGGAGATGCCAGAGAGCTTTCTCTGTCTACCATGTGAAGGCAGTGAGAAGGCAGCCGTCTGCAAGCCAGGAAGAGAACGCTCTCCAGGAACCTGATTGGTGATCTTGGACTTCCACCCTCCAGAAACGTGAGAGAATAACTTTGTTGTTTAAGCTGCCCTAGCATACTAACACATAGTCTGCTTTTGTAAGAGTGAGAGCTCAGGCACGCGTGTGGGCGGCTGTGGGTGGGGGGATGACAGAGGCAGAGGGAGAGTCTTAAGCAAGCTCCTGATGCGGGTTTCAATCCCACCACCCCGAGATCATGACTGAGCCGAAAATCAAGAGTCAGACGCTTAGCCGACTGAGCCCCCCAGGCGCCCCTAACACACACTGTTTTTAATTTTCCCCCATTTCCCGTCTTCAGGAGAGGAAGCTAACATGCGGTTTCATTACTACTGCTTGAATAGAGGTATCCAAGGAACAGGTCATGAAGATAATCTCTGGCTTCTCTCCAGTTAAAAGAAACGTACAACAATTCCAAGCCCACACTAGGTGTTGACCATGCACCAGAGACTTTCTATGTCGCTCCTCTTCTGGATGAGTAAGGCCTTGTCCTTTCTTTCCCAGTTCCCGGGAATGATGGCACAAACCAGGGCTTGGCCGACTCTCTATGTAGAGCGCCAGACCACAAATAGTTTGGCTTTGTGGGCCACCTGGCCGCGGCGGTGAAGGCTTCACTCAGCAGGGAGGCTTCAAAGCGGCCACCGCACAAGGGACGGGTGGTCACACATCACTATGGGCACTGAGATTCGCATTTCACATCATTTTCATATGCCACAAACCGTTCTTCTTTTGATTTCCCCCCCGTTTTTAAAAAGATTTTATTTTAGAGAGAGCACGAGAGAGCGCGGGTGAGAGGGAGAGGGAAAGGATGAGAGAGAGAGGGAGAGAGAGGATGAGAGAGAGGACGAGAGAGAGAGGGGACGAGAGAGAGGACGAGAGAGAGGATGAGAGAGAGAGGACGAGAGAGAGAGGAGAGAGAGGATGAGAGGATGAGAGAGAGAGGACGAGAGAGAGAGGACAAGAGGGAGAGGGAAAGGATGAGAGAGAGAAAGGACGCGAGAGAGAGGACGCGCGAGAGAGGACGCGCAAGAGAGAGGACGCGCGAGAGAGGACGCGCGAGAGAGAGGACGAGAGAGAGAGAGGACGAGAGAAGACGAGAGAGAGGACGCGCGAGAGAGAGGATGAAAGAGGATGAGAGAGAGAAAGGACGAGAGAGAGGACGAGAGAGAGAGGGAGAGGGAAAGGATGAGAGAGAGAGGACGAGAGAGAGGACGAGAGAGAGAGGACGAGAGGGAGAGGACGAGAGGGAGAGGACGAGAGGGAGAGGACGAGAGGGAGAGGGAAAGGATGAGAGAGAGAGGGAGAGCCTCAGGTAATGCCTGGGGACCCCAGGCTCTCCTCTGTAATGAAGGGTAAGACCACCTCCTCTCTCCAAAGCCAGTTCTCAGGGCACCTGTGAGGACCGCAGAGGGGAGCCAGGGAGCTCCCTGTGCAGTGCCCGGGACATGGTAAATGCGGTCACTGTTGGCTCCTAGCTGACTGACCCTCTTCGTAATGCTGTGGAGGAAGGCCTTGAGGCCACAAAAATCCACAATCTCCGTTTGGATGAGGGGTCTCTGTGGGCACCACATCCTCCCCACATTGCTTCTGCCCTCAGGTCATGAAGACTTACTGAGTGTTGGATAATCCGTGGTGGCTCCAGGGCTGGCAGGGGCAGGGAGGCGGCGGGGTAGATGCCCATGGGGGGCCCCTCTGGGGGCAGCGCTGACCCACGGGCTCCTCCTCTGTTCACCCCGCTCCGCGCCTGGGCCTGGGAGCCCTCCTCTAGGAGATGCTGTTCCTGCAACACAAGGCAGAGCTGCAGCACCCAGAGAGGGAGAGCCCCGGACACTGAAGGGAGGAGATCGGGCGCCCAGGGCGCGCACTCCGCCTGGCACAGCGGTGCACGGACGCGTGGTCCTCCGGTGGGAGGGGGCCTCAGGACGTCCTCGGGGCACAGACCCTCTGGAATTGGAGCCAGGCTCTTCATGGGGGGCATGCATGAGAGGAACCCTTCATTTCACGTGGCGGGAAGGGGAGGGAGCTTACAACTTCTGTTTGAGTTTACCAAATAACGAACCGGTTTCTGGTTGTTCTCTTTGCCCAGCCAGCAGAGTATATTCTCTTTCCCGCATCACCACGATGTGGCATTTTATCCTAACGTATACGTTTGGACTCAATTAATCGCTTCGCATGGTCATTCCCTGTTGCTGGTGCATTTAGTTTGGATGAAGCCATTGGCCACCTTAAAATCCCACTTCCTGTAGGAATTGGGCCCTTTGCACAGCATTTCCACCTTGGGGATGTGCAACCAAAGCAGGGTTTTTCAGCGAACACTCCGCTGGAACCCAGACTATGGAAAACATGCATGCAGGTGTTATTTTCTCCATGAAGTCCTGGACCCAGGTGCGCAGGCTCCTAGCTGCTCGGGATCCGTCCGTTACCCACCCATAGGTCACAGACATCAGGGAACCAGTGCTTCATCCAGGAAGCCCTCCCCCATGCCTCTGGCCTGCTCATGATCAGGGTCCACACAGCTGCTGGACATGCGGCCTACCCAGAGTCTCTGCAGAAGATCTTGCCTCCTCCTCAGAGCACCCAGCAGGGCTGCATCCAGCCTGTCCTTGTTTCCTGCAGGGCGTCACATCAGGCAGGTTCCCACACGGGGCCCAAGCACTGCCCTATGGCAGAAAGCCCTTCCTCGGGCTCTGCTGGACTCTGGTGAGAGGGAGAAGGGCCTCACGGGGCTCGGTTGTGAGCGTGACTGGGTTGTGAGCCTGGCCTCCTGCCACCTGGAGCCATCTGGGGGCCCCAAGCAGCCTGGGGGCTGGTACGGTCCACCGAGCCTCAGGTAATGCCATCTGCAGCCTCCTGAGGGAGGGGTCCCCACTCAAGAGGAGGCTCTGAACAGGGTCTGGCCTTCCTTCCTCGGGCACAGCACACCCATTCTCCACCCCCCAGCCCTGAGGATGCCTAGAGCAGCCTGTCCTCTGGGGGAGTCCCCAGGAGTCCCGCTGCCCTGGCCCACTCCATGGTTCTGCTCTTACCTGTTGGCCAGGTGACCTGTTTGGCGTTTCCTGTCTGGATTTGAGCCCTGGGCTCTGCCTGCTGTCCTCACGAGTTTCCTGGAGCTCCCACTGCCAAAGGGGCTCTTCCCCATGAACAGGCAGCATTCTCGTAGGCCTCCCTAGCACCTCACCCAGATGTCCCTGAACTTGGGCACTGTCACCGGGAGAGCGGTCCTCTCCTCCAGCTCACGTGGCCTGAGCGACCGTCGGCCAGGGTTGCAGATGCACAGGAGCGCCTGGTCTGGGCGCCTGAAGATGTGCTCACCTGACAGGTTGAACCCCACATACCCCCCACCCCAGAACAAGCTCAGAGCGACACAGATCGGATCCAGGTGTGGCCACGTCTGAGCTGGGCACCCTGTGGCAGACGATCAGACCTCTCTGGACCCCCCTTCTCTTATTTGCAGAATGGGAATGATGAACATATCCCCTCTTGGGGTTTTTGTGAAGGTGTGGTAAGCAATGAGGGTGTGCTTGGCAGAGCACCGTGTGTGTGTGTTCTCCCAGCAGCCTGGGCTCTTACCTGGTACGAGGTGGGGTTCTTCAGAATCCCCTTCCACATTGTCACACTCTTGCTCCAGTTTCTGTGTTGAAAAGGACAGAGTGTGCGAGTGGGTGGGGTCTGGGTGGGGGGAGGAACACCTGCCCCAGAGGGTCTGAAGGGACCAGAGTCCCAGATGGAGGTGATTGGGGACAGAGTGGGGGGAGGTGGCAAGGGTCATCCGTGCTCTCTTAGGACTGTGGGCGTCAGGCTCTCCATTTGGTGCACACAAGTTCCACCTTGAAATCTTAGGGCAGATGCTCTGATGTGAATGGCCCCTTTCAAGCAACTTTCTGCAGAGCCTGACCCAGGCCAGCTCCATGTCACTGACCACCCACCCCTGACCACTTGAGCCCTGGGCTGAGCAGCACGGTCTGGGCCTGTCCTGGGATGACCCCTGCCGGCCCCTCCACGTTGGCCATGGGCCACCCAGAAGGAGGCGCTGTGCTGGTGGGCAGGCTGGCCGTGGAAGATAGGAAGACGGCTGTCAGGATGGACCGCAGGGCTGGCCTACGCGGCTGCAGACCCTGCACCAACCATGGCCTGTCTTCTCCAAACACTGAAGCCGGGAGGCTCTGCAGGGGTTTGTGGGCCCTGAAAATGCTCTGGGCCATGGGTGTATCCAGCCTCCCAGCCGAGAAGCTGCCAGAAGAATCTAGTTGGTTCTGCATAAAGGCAGAGAAAACCAAGAGACCACAGGCCTTCATCGTAAGGCTAAAAAGCACAGCAAAGTATTTTCCCTCGGAAGCAGGAGTATACTGACAGGCATAGTAACTTACCTTTTGAATCTGTGCTTCTTTGACAAGCTGTTGAAAACATGATTGCCCCCACTGCCTTACCTTCTCCAAGAGTTTCAGGGTCAGTTGGGTCATCGCATCTGCCCCTGAGGAGTCCAGCATCCTGGGACACCACAGACCCACCTCCTCCCTCGGTCTCAGGTTATCGGCAAGCAAGGAGAAGCAGCCCCAACCGTGGTGTCTTTGAAGGGTTCCTGAGCTGGGCTGAGTATACCCCCTGGGGCCTGGCCCGCTGCTGCCAGAGAACAGCGTGTGGGAGGGCGGCCACAGCTCCCGGAGTGCTGTGTTGCCTCGGCGGTTGCTGGGCGCTGCAGACACAGGAGGGCCCCAGGTTGCCGGGTTTCCAATGAGAGTCCTTCCCAAGCCCCAGTCTGCCCCCCCCACAGGAGTTGCCTATAAACACTGCTAATCTCCAGGTGTAGCCAGGTGGGGCTTATTGGGAAGGTGATGAGCAGCAGCTGGGGCCCGAGGGGACAGAGTGAGGTCCTGGGGGGCAGTCCTGATTCCCCCTGCATTGCCCCCACCCTCAGGACTGAGTCCAGAAGAGTATGGGGTAGGGGTGGGGGGCAGCTGCATCCATTCCCCATGCCCTGCAGGGGCCTACCCTCCCCTCATCCATTGTTAGCTCCAAGGGGCCAGGAGGCCCCCAGCCCCTTCTAGGGACCCTCAGAGCCAGATGGGTGTGAAGCCTAGATACCAGGAGGACAGGGTGGGGGCACCATGTCCCTGCGATTTCAGGAAATTCTGGGCGGCAGAAGGGGCAGCACAGGGAGCTGACCAATGACCCGCTTAGGGGCTTTCCTGGTGGGGCTTCTGGGTGGGCGCACCCCACAGGCTCCTAGCCATCACCTTGCAGGACACAGGGCCACACGGGGCTACCACTCCTCCAGGCAGGGATGTGATTGCAGGATTGGGATTGCCCTGTGGGGATCCTGGCCCAGAGAGGGGTGGGGGCACCTAGGGACAGGACCGCTGGTCAGGTCAGAAGTTGGTGGCTGGAGACATGCACTCCAGCGCTGGGGGGGGGGCAGTGGGGTGCGACACCCAGCAAGAGAAGCCTTTTATAAATGATCGTTCACACAGAGCACAGGGCACAAAACTGATCAAAGTGGCTCTTCATTTGTACCGGCTTTACATTTCAGATTTACAAATTAATCAACCCAGCTAATGAAGTGGATAGAACAGATTGGATATTGGATCCAGTGACACTGGTCCAGGGCTGGGGTGGGAATGAGGGATCAGCACACTTACAGCCCCCTCCTCAATGCAACTGAACCAAAAACTTGTATCAGATGGCCAAAATTTGGCTAAAAGTCCCTTAAATTGCCCATACACTTCAGTGGTTATGGATTTATATGTATCATAACCCTAACATTCAAACAGGAGGTCTGAGTGTAAACAAAAACTAATTTAGTTAAGCTACTCAAGGTAGCTAGGAGATAATCCCAAGTGGTATACATAACACATCCCAGTGTGAGTTTGTTAGACTTTTTTTTTTTTTTAAATAAAGCCATTTATTAAAGTTTTGGGGCGCCTGGGTGGCTCAGTCGTTAAGCGTCTGCCTTCAGCTCAGGTCATGATCCCAGGCTCCTGGGATCGAGCCGCTCATCAGACTCCCTGCTCAGCGGGAAGCCTGCTTCTCCCTCTCCCACTCCCCCTGCTTGTGTTCCCTCTCTCACTGT